GACCTAGTAGAAGGTGATTGGATCATTGGATAGACTTATCATGAAATCTGGTAGTTTAAAAGTATGTGGCACCTCCCCTCTTTCTCTTGATCCTGCTCCTGCCATGTGAGACTCCTGCTCCTGCTTTGCCTTCTGCTATGAGTAAAAGCTTTCTGAGGCCTCCCCAGAAGCAGCTGCTGCCATGCTTCCTCTACAGACTGTGGGACCAAGAGCTAATTAAACCTCTTTGCTTTTATAAATTACCCAATCTCAACTATTTTTTCATAGCAGTGTAAGAATGGCCCAATACAGTAAATAACCCAATTCTAATGTTTTAGGAGTTTTTTTCCCAAAAATTTCTATGAACAACCTTAATTTTAAGTACATATCATGAATCAACATTTAGTCCCCTATGTATTCTGGTATTATCCTTTTTTTACTACCTGGCACTGACTCTGAATGGCTATGCCAATGAGTTTTCATATATTCTTAAAGACTTCTTTCAAGTCTACAATATTCTTTCATGAAAAAAGTGTCTGAGATAATTGGTCTGGACACTTTACTATTTGCTCTATTAAGCCTATAGTCCTTGATGATTAACCTATTAGAGGTAATGTAATAAGTCAGATAAATATGCTCAATATTTAAGATGTTAAATTTATGTATTTGTACCTCACACACAATGAGAGTTGTGCAGAATATGCCAAGAAAATGTAACTTTTTCCTGTATTACACAACATCTCCATTAGCTCTATGAAAAGATAAATACTGAAGTTGTGATAATTTCTAATTCAGCATATTATTACAGATAAAATAAATGTTAACTGAATTGGATCAAAAAAAACACTGAACTCTACTGGTTGAATTTAAACTTTAGCTTTGTTAGTAAACACCTCCTCTTCCTTAAAAATCATTTCAAACTACAGAGAAGTGACTGTAGGGCTCCTTTAGAACAATCAGCACATTTCATTTCTGAGTACATATAAATATATATGCATTCATTGAAAAATAGTATTTTATTTTTAAATATATATATATAATATACATGCACATTCATAGGAAAATAGAATAAAGGCAGCAGGAAGTACATCAAATTATTAATAGTAGTCATGTCTTGGAGATAAGATTTGAAGTGATTTTAATATTTTATTCACATGTTTCTATATTTTCCAAATTCTATAATGGATACCATTAGATATCTGATAGTTTTCTAAAAGCAGAAATGTTGGTGGAGTCAAGGAAAATGTTTAACAAGAACAGTTCACGACTTTTTGGTGTTTATTAATTCTGGAGGCAACATAGAATGAGCTAGTTAAACATAACTCATTCAAAAACGTATCTGTGTAACTTATCTATGTAAATTTCCAATTAAGCCTATAAATTTAGGCAATCTAAGTGCTTTTGGTAAGACATTATCAAATAGGATGAGTTTGATGGCAGCATGAATAAGGGAGTGGTACCTAGGAGAATTGGCTTCTGCAAAATTCCTAGACTCTGGTTGGTCCAGCTAAGTGCACAGTGATACCTTAACTGTGTTTGAAATACTAGAAAATGAGGTCTGAGGATTCAGAAAAGGTGATGATTCAGTATTTATCTGTTAAAGTAATACCAAACCACTAAAAGGCATTTTTCTAGTTGTTCACACCTTTCTGCAACAATACCTGTTTCTTTTTTTCTAAATAATATAAATAGATTTCACATTTCAAAAGCTGGAAAAATATAGCCTCAGTAACTATTTATAGGTAGTTGGAAATTATCCCTAACTGAATGACTGAATAATTATGTTTTTAAAAAGATAAAGATCCTACTGATTCATTCTAAAATAAGACGACTTATTTTTAAATATAAATGTCTTCACTGTCTTAGTGAGCACAGTCAGCCAGCTTTCAGAACAGTACACCACTGAGCCAAACAGTTTTTAAAACAAGCTCTCATACTTTGGACAGGGGTGAAGGAAGAGAGAGAGTGAAAGAGAGAGGCAGAGACAGACAGAGAAACAGAAGCTGAATTATTGATTATAACTATTCTCTAGGTTCCTATATCTTTTGCCAAGATGATAATAATCTTGTTCTGATTTGGGGTATATTTTAATTGAACTATTCATGGTATTAATAAAAGATCAAACCTCTGGAGTTCCTTTGATGTACATAGCAAATCACTGACCTGACTCCCTGTTTTATGTACCTCATAAAACTGCCACAGCTACCATGCCCTTTCCTAATTCCTGAGACTTACAGTGTGGATTGGAATTTAAATGTTGCTGCATCCAAATCAGGACCTAGGTTTAAATGCTAAGCATCTGAAGCATGGTAGGCCATCAACCTGGTACCATATGATTATGAGTTTTCATCACCTAGCTACGTTAATTTCCATCTCTTTGTCATCTTGATTTTGGGGAAATGTTCGGTCAAATGGGGAAGGAAAATTAGAGTGTGTGGGATGGGTGGATGAAGCTGTGGTTCATGAGTCTTTGCTTAGGGACAAAGTTTTTTTCTCTCTTATTGAACATTTTAGTTTAATCTGAAAATATCAATGCTACCCAAATGCTTATCTTATCTGAAAAAGAGAGTGGAGAGAAGAAACAGAAGGTTCAAGACAACTAGTTCCTTTCCACAAAACGGAACAGAGCTTAAAAAGCCTAGTAGATATTTCTCATCATGGATTGTAAATTTAGAGTGACCAACTTTGTATACTTTAGTGCTCAAACTACTCCCTGTGCCTCAATCATTTTCTCATTTTCTCTTCACCTTCCAAAGTGTAAACCATAAAATGCAGTCTGACTAGTGCTAGGCAGAATAGTATAGGAGTGTAAATTAGATACAATTCTAGATATTTAACTTTTCCAGCTTAAAAAATAATTATATCACAATATAATTCCCTATTCTTTAGAGCAGTACCTCAGCAGGAGTAGCTAGGAAAAAGACTGCGAAAGCAGCATCTATCTGCTTATACCTGTAGGAGTGATCAGTCAGTAAAAAGAGGGTCCATTTTTTTTCTGGACAGAGTTGGAACAGAAGACTCCTCACTGCCTGTTATATGTATTGTCTTTTCCTCTTTCTCGCTGGAGCTTTTAAGGGTGTGTGTGTGTGTGTGTGTGTGTGTGTGTGTGTGTGTGTTAATAACAAAGCTTCAAGAATTAATACATTTGAAATGTACCATACATCCTAATTTATGGTACAGTTTATTCCAATTATCTCAACATTATAATGTCACTAATTTTACACTAAAAAGTCTTTATTTTACAATAAATCATGTGCTCACACTAGTTATAGCCCTAATCAAACATTTAGCTAAAATCCTAACTGCATTTCTTACCAGATGTGTAACCTTGATAAAGTCTCTCAGTTTCTCTGTGTGCCTGTCTTCTCATGGAAAACGGTAATGATGGTGCAAGTTGAGTATCCCTTATCTGAAATGCTTGGGACAAGAGTGTTTTAGATTTCAGGTTTTAATGCATTCTTGAATATTTGCATAATACATGTTGGTTGAACATCCTTCACCAGAAAATTAGAAATCTGAAATGCTCCACTGAGCACTTCCTTTGAACACCATATCAGTGTTCAAAACGTTTTAGATCTGGGGACATTTCAGATTTCTGATTTTTGGATTTGGGATGCTCAACCTGTAGTGCCTAACTCATATGGTGCTCTAATGAGTTAATGTGTATAACTGAGGATCCAATGAGTTAATTTATATAATTTCAGAACAGTTCCTAATATATAGTAAAAACTAAATATATTGTAGTTATTATAAAAGTTGACGAGTCTGACCCTCTTGCCCTCTAACCTAGACCCACACACACACAAATCCATGAAATCAACTATTTGACAAAATACAGTATACTTAAGCGACTTTAGGTAACAAAGTGTCAATTGCTTTTGTAAGTCATCTTTAGATGAATCAGTAATATTTATATGATGGTTTTACTCTAATACACACTTTCCTACACATCACAATTTTTTCATAACAATTCCATGAAGTAGATATTAATATTCTTATTTTTTCAGATTAAAACAGTCAGAAGAGTTAAGCTGTCCCTATGTCACAGACAAAAACTGCCACAGCCAGAATTTGAACCAAATTCTTCTTACTCTAAATGCCATAGTTTTGCCACTAGGAAATAACAACTATTAAATTCTTAATCATTTTATTTCATTTTCAACTCAAGTTGAATTTTTACCTCAAATGACTTTCATATTTTGTCATGTTTACCTTAATTCCATCATAGCACTTTTCATACAATAATTACATATTTAACTGCCCAATTCTTCAACATAAAAATATTAAATTGCATGAGAGAAAAGACTACGAATTCATCATTAGATTTGTAGTGGCCTTCTTAATTTCTGAAACACAAGCAGAATCTCAATAGATGTTTATTGAGCTAAATGAAACCTATTTCTCAAGAAGTGTCCTGGAAAATATTAGACAAAAAGAAAATGCTTTCTGTTTGTCCAGTGTCTGTATCCCAGCTTCCTGTTAAGTGATGTTTTGAAAAGAGGAGATAAGCTTGGGCTGAGGTGATAAATGGCATTCATGGAGAACTTGATTAATTTATCTGAGCTTTCCTGACATTTCTTCTTGGGCACTTTACTGAGATATATTGAGGCAAACATTGGCTTTTCCCAAGGAAGCCTCCTTCTCTGGAAATCCCTGTCATACTATTAAGACTTCTTAAAACAAGAATAATACAGCCCAGAGTGGGGGCTCATGCCTGTAATCCCAGCACTTTGGGAGGTCTAGGCAGGCGGATCACTTGAGCTCAGGAGCTTGAGGCTAGGCTAGGCAACATGGTGAAACTTTGTCTCCACTAAAAATTAAAAAAAAAAAAAAAAGAAAAGCCAGGCATGGGGCACACATCTGTAATCCTAGCTACCTGGTAGGCTGAGTCACAAGAATTACTTGAACTCAGGAGGCAGAGATGGCAGTGAGCAAAGATTGCACCACTGCACTCCAGCCTGGGTGACAGAGTGAGGCTCTGGCAAAAAAGAAAGAAAGAAAGAACAATGTTAAGTACTTACTTTCTAGGTCCATAAAGATTTCCATAAGCATTAGTGTCATTACCACTCTGCTCCTGGTTATCAATAGTAAAATTAGACTGGTAAAAATCAGTGTCAATTTGTGCCAAGTTTGACATCCTGAAAAAATAAGAGTATGTTTTTAATAAGTTCATGAGTCAATAAAACTTAGTTTGAGATATTTACAAAGATCAACTGACAATGTAGTTATGGCTGGATTCCTATCAGAAAACAAGGTATCCTTTGAAGGGGATCAATAAAGTATTGGAGGAAGGGTGTAGTAATATATGCTAGAAGGTTATTTACAAACTGTGTTATCTTCAACTACTTTTTAAAAAGTTTTCACACCCTGGACTGTGGCTTCTAATAAGTTGACTTGAAAGAACTAATCTCCAAATATCTTATTCTTAGCTTTAAGGGAAAAAGTTTAAAACATGGTACACATCTAGAAGAATTTCCCTAAAACAATGTCAGTTTTTTACTTTAAGTACACGCATGCACATGCAGACACATACACACACACACATTCTTGTAGCAATGATTATTATTATCTACAAATGGCTCATAATAATAATACTCCTTCTCAAAGCAAAACCAATACACTACAAAGGTATTTCCTTGTTCTACTTGGCAATTCTTAAAAAGTGTTTGGAACATTTTCCTTTTTCTTTTGCTCTGGGTACTGCACCTGGGCTTCTGGCAGAGCCAGAGAGAAAAAGATTCAATCCTGCTAAGGGGTGTCTTTTGTTCTCTACACTCTCTCTATAGTTTTCACTCACTTCTTGGAGTAAAGAGGAATGATTTTTATGGCCAGGAATACCAGAGGAAAATATGAAGAACTGAGAGAAGGAAGAGGTATGGGAGAAGAGGACGTTAGAGAGGTAACAGTGGCTCTTTGGATTAAAAAGTAGACAACAGAGAAGAGGCTCTTCAACTGGACAAATGTGGTCATTCAACCCAACATGTAATTCTTTATTTTTCTTTGAAAATCTTTGTATTTTAAAATAGTGGATTTAAAAATCACTAGGAGTAATCCATATACTTATAATAATCTATGGACTATTACTTATGAAATCTCAAAAGAAATTGCATAAAAACAGCCTCAACTAGAAGCGTATTATTAATCAGAAATATTAAAGTAACAATTGTCAAATATATCAAATTTGTTCAGTTCAATAAAAACACAAAAAGATGCAGCGATTCATACATCTGATGTAAGAAATCAAGATTTTTCATTAGTAATGTGTATAAAAGTAGCTATGAATTATGTAAACTAAAATCAGGACTTAGTGATAAACCTTTTAACAACTTATAATTTAAAGAACTTAAAATTTAATAGGATAACTTTCTCAACACATGAAAATATGTTATTATAAAGCATAGAGTAATTCATTGAAAATACACTAAATTTTCATAACATGCAAAGCTTTATGTAATGTGACTATTGGTACTACATTTCTTACATAACCCAGCTTTGTATTTTGTTTAAATGCCAAGTCTTTTAAAAGGATCAGACACATACCTCTATTTATTTTTGTGGAAAGATCCTCCAGCAAATGTAGCTTTGTGTGAGAAATTTAAAGCAAATCCATTGGTGGAAAGATGACGTGCTGGCTATATATATACCTTTCTAAATTTGTACTCTGACACGCTGAGCAGATGCTACAGGCAAAAATAAAAAAGCCTGCCAAAAGCCAAATACAGTATCTTATAACACTTATTGTGGTTTACAAACACAGTGAACAGTGTACAGACATACAATTTGATCAATATGCAAATTGTGGAAAGATAGAATACAGTTTCCTTGTGTGCGTATCTATTAAACTGAGATGAGATCACTTATTTGAGACAAGCAGTTAAAAAGTAAGAGGTCTCAATGTCCCTTCCATTTCATGGATTTCCTGATAATATGCAGTAAAAATAAAAATACAGCACATGATTTGTCATGAAGATCTCGGCACCAAAATGAAAATGGGTTGTGGTCAATTTTATCTATCAGAGCTATTCTATTTATATGAGCAATATTTAAGAAGACTAATTGTGGTCTGCCTCTGACTTTTCTGGCTTCCTACTTTTCCAGCAGAGGCCAACATGGGTATGCTAATAAAATCTAGTGCTTCTTACCTGTGGGGTAGGTTCTGTGCCATTTTCGAGGCAAACCTAAACACTGGAAAGTGTTAGGCCCATCCCCACCCCAGGAAGCAACCTGAGTTGGCCTTTCGCTGCATCACTGGGTTACTACTGGAAGCCTACTCTCTGGTTCTGAGCCAGGTAACCTGGATAATACTATCAATTCTATCTAGATCTTGTCTTCTCATCCCTAATGTTAATCTCATGGCTGGAAGTCAAGTTCCCCTGTAGTCTGCTTCATGCCGATTCTCTTTTCTAAGACTTAAGACTTCCCATGTATCCAAATCTCAGTAATTGAAATTTTCTGTCCGACGGCAGATTATTTGGCACTTCAGAATCTTCAGCTGGAGGCAACATCAGAATGCTGGAGTAATTTCTTTTTCCACATTGTTTAAAAGGATTTGAAACTTGAATGTCTTTCATTACAGCTGCCCTTCCTACAACAGTAGTCAGGCAACAACGGGTCACACATTTATCAAGAAACTACTGTTGAGTACCAGACTCTGTTCTAGATGCTAGAACCTGTTTCTGAACAGGTAAACTAAACAGACTTGCATTTAAAGAGATACATCTTATACTGATTTTGCTACACCTACAACTAATAATTAATGACTAGCTGGGCATTGTTCTACAAAGTTTAAGTCATTTAATTTTTGTAACAACCTGATGAGGTATTATTATCCAATTTTACAGAAAAAGAAATGGAGATTGAATAATTTTCCTAAGGTCATTAGCTAGTAGATGAAAAAGCCAAAGTTTGAAAACTGACAGAGTTCAGAGTTCACATTATCCAAGATAATTTCAGGAATTATACCATAGAATGTGCTATTAAGATGGAGAGTACAAAGGGGAGAAGATTTGAATGCTCAGGGAAGGCTTCTTAAGAGGGTCATTTGGATAGAGATCTGATAGATGATAATGGAATTACTTCAAAGACTACATAAAGAACATTTAAAGTAGAGACTTTCAGATGGCAAGAAGTTTTGTAGTTTATGGTTTAGAAAAGAAAGCCAATGTTGTAGGGATTTTTGAATTAGAGAAATTTGAAGGAGATGAGGTCAGAGGTATGAACAGAGGTTGGATCCTAAAGGAGCCTGTAGGCCATGTTAAAGAGTCTGAATGTTATTATAATTGAAATGAAATGTCATTCTGGGGTTTTACACAATGTGATGATATCAGTTTTACTCACAAGTGGAAAAGGGAGTCTGGTTAGGAAGAAGGTGTTACAATAGCACAGACGTGAGATGTCAGTGGCTTAAACTAGGGTTGCAGTGTAAGGAGAACTGGTACAAAAGTCATGGCAACTGAGGGAAAGATGAATTGAAGGGGTCAATATTGAAGCAGTGGTATCAGTAAAAAGAAAATTCAGTCCAGAAAAATGATGATGAGTTATCTGAATTAAGGATGGTCCAAGGTATAGGTCGAGTAGTGAACAAATACAGAAGATATTTAGAAAGATTTAATAGGATTTAATTTCTATTGAATAGGAGGAAGAAGAAAAAGGCAATCATTGAGGATGATTTTTAGAATTCTGCAATTTTTCATTCTAATGCCTAATGCCGTAGGAAAAGGCCAAATTGTTACATAGTGGCCAAATTTTGATTATCATCTTTTCTATTCCTTCTTTCAAAGTTCTTACATGAGAACATAGGTCCTTCTCTAAAACAGCGGGGATTTATGATACATTCTTTTTTTGACATATAAATGCCATGTAAAGTTTATCAAAGATAATATTTATCTTAGTCCAATTAGATATATTTTAAACTTATTTTGTGATTTTTTACTTTTCAACATAGTTTCGTTCATAAAAACCTGGCTTGATTAAATGAATTGCAGAAATATATGGACTGAAAATGGCATATAAAAATCATATTAATCTAATCCTCAAGTGAATTATAAACCATGAAACATTGAAGACAAAATGACTTCAGGCTCCTTAGAAGTGCATTAATGGATCATTAATGCATATGCAAGAATACTTTAAAGCTATTCTTATGGATAAAACACTGTGTATCTATAAAATATACATTTAAATGGTTTACCTCCATTAATGAATTATCTGATTGCTGTAGTATATATTGGAGAATGGAGTGTAGATTGATATTACATATAGTCACAGTGTCATCAATTATTTTAACTCATCTGTTTTAGTGATTGTTTCTGTGTCCTGAACGACAAAAAAGACTACATTATATGAATAAGGCTTCTCAGCTGATGTAAAAAAGCCCCATGTTCTGCTCATAACCACTTTCTTTTCCTTCATTTTTATTTTCTTTTCTCTCCCTGCTCTCTCCTTCCCTCCATCCTTTCCTTCCCTCACTCAGTTCCCTCTCTGAACACTCTCCTAAGGTGATCCTATGTATTTTCCCGGCTTTATATATTATCTATATATATCAATTCCCAAAGTTATGCATGCATCCTTGACCTTTTTTCTCAGTTCCAGACTATTTGATAGACACTTCAAACTTAACACAATCCAAACTGGATTCTTAAAGTCTCCACCCTCCCCAACCCAAGATTGTCTTCTTCATTTCAAGAAATTACATCACAAAGCACCCACTCAAATCAGAAATCATCTAATTTTTCAATAAATTCTATCAATTCTGTCTCTTAAATATATATCTCACTAACCAATTCCTTCCATCACCATTGCTATAAGCCTGGTTGAAATCTCCATTTTCTCCCACTTATAATTCTCTTTGTTGTTATTTTAAAAAGTGATATATCACTTTTACTGTAGCAGATTGGCAGGAGATAACAAAGCTCTTATAAAAAGATTGTAGAAATTATACCTTTAATGACTTGCAAAATCAGGACAAATTCTTCTGTGGTTGCTAACTATAATTAGCAGTAGCAATCGAGAAGAATTTCCATCCATAATTTCTGAGCATCTCTCTGGTGATCTGTCACATGTTGTAGAGGATGTGAGTTGCTCAACAGCTATATTGAAAACAATTTGCTATATACCTGACAGTTATGCAATTGTGTTAAGTTTAAGGATAAATGGTTTGGTGTATGGATGAATGATCACTATTACTAATTCTGCATACTCAGAATCTAGTATTTTAGTTGATGTCTATCAATCTAAGTATAATATAAAATTGCAACATCCATCACTACAGTCCTTCGATATAAAAATGGAGGCTCAGAGAAGCAAAGTTGTTTGTGTAAAGTCACACACCTAGTATGTGAAAGAACCTAGTCTGAAGCATCAGTTCTCTCACTCATCCAGGTTTCTTTAATTAATCTGTTTCTCCAAAAATATTATGTATGGCTGCCCAGAACTCTGGTGTTATAAATGTATGTATTTAGGAACATTAAATGATGTTTATTTTTATCCATCTACCCCAAATATTTTCAGCTGAATAGAGCTGCCAATAAACGAAGTGAAAAATATGTCACCATTTTCTACCTCTGCTGACAGAGAAACAGGTTGTTTGTTACCAGTGTTTATCATGTAATTAATTTATTCTGGGAATCTATATTGCAATTTAATGTACATCTGCATTAATGCAGAGAAGAATGCAATGCATTCTGTTTTCCATTATTTTTAATGCATTTTTGTCAGTATTCTCTAAATGCTCTTTTCGTTAGTACCACATAAGATTTGTTCCTGATCATCTGCCTTTTAAAGACCATGCTGCTTCTATTTTATAAACCTGAAACTACAGCCCTGAATATTACAGAGACACATGAAAATAGGCATAAAATTCTGTTTCATTGCATGAATTTTAAAGAGCTCAATATGTTCTATGGCAAGCAAAGAAAAGAAAATTAAAGAATTTTGCTTCATTAATACTATCGTAATTATCTTTGACTTTCAATTTGGCAACCTCTTCTTAATTTCCACTTTTATTCTATAAAGACTTAATTTGTCTTTGTAGAAAAAACTGCATTCTAGCAGACTTATTGCTGAACTCTTATTAGTTTTTAGTTTGGCAATATGTTTTGTTAGCAAAAATACAATTACGCCTGAGATTATGAAAGTTGATATGAGCAGTAGTTGAATTATACATTCTTAGTAATCATATTATTGTAATAATCATTTAAATATGTAATAAGAAGTCAAATTTACATACATTTAGCGAAGTGATAGAATTAATTTTCATAGGAGGTTTTTCCTAGGAATTATATACATTCTTCCACAAGTTACTTAGCCACATAGATCCTTAGTTCCCTCATCAAAAAAAAGGAATAAAACTTATACTTACCTCTTAGGTACTGTTTATTTCATCTTTATCTCATCCACTTCATTCTATTTTTCCATATTTCACAATATGTTGAAATTATTAATGAACATATAACTTTTATGTGTGTATATAAAATTCTGTATAAAATATAAGGATTAGACAGATTTTGCAAAAGGAACAATTAAATACAGTAGTTGGCAAATAGTAAATTGTCAATAAATGTGACCTGTTATGATTATGTTTTTGGGTAATAATGAAACTGGATCAATAACAAGCATCCAAATTTATTCTGGTGTCCATTATTTACAGTCATCCAACATATATATTTTTTCTATT